TTTCAGCTCTGTTGCGAGGAGCTGCAGGCGAGACGTGTTGGAGATCTTCTCTGTGTGATGAAGCCACCGGTAGCAGTGCGTGATCTGTACCAGCAGGCTGTAGCACTCGAGTTCTTGCTGCAGTTCTCCACGTGGCAGAAGCAAACGGCAGAGAGTGAAGAGCAGGAGAGGCATCATCTGAATTTGTTCACCCCCGCTACCGACATAACAACTTCGAAAGCGTCTCTCGTGGAAGAAGTCGGCTCTACCCTGTGGCCCCGCAGAGGTGACATGCCGTGCGGCCTTCCAGTTCATGCGCGCCATCTCGGCGACATCCTCCAAGTTCAGCAGCGTCCTGGACAGGACTCTCTCGACCAACCTCGTTGTTTCCACCGCCGCGCAACCTCCCTGGAAGTACGCGTGCAGATAATCATTGAAACAGTAGCTGGGCGGAAGCAAATGACGGTAGCGGGCTTGGAAAAGGTGTCCGCTGTCCGGGCGGTAGTTGATGCCTAGACATTGCGATCTTTGTTTCACCGCTTTCTTTGTTAAGCGCATGCTGCACACATCCCTGTGGAGGTCGTCCACCAGCTTGAACCAGTCCTCATCCTGCTTTCGCACGAATCGTCTGACATTGTCCTCTGTAATGTCACGCAGAAGACCATCGGCATCTCTCCCTGCTAAGTCCGCATCCAGTTTACATATGTTGGCGCAAAAAAGACAGGGTGCAAGTCCTGCCGAGCCAGTGTTGTCGAAGACGATCTTCTGGGCGTCGTGGTCGGCTATGTACATCGCGAGAAAGAGGGAAATCTTGATGCCTCGCGCCACTGGGAAGGCGTTCCGAGCCAAGTCGAGCTCTTCCAGGAGCAAATGTAGGTAGGCCGTGTAACCGCCTGGCACGTTCTGATGATCCAAGTACGGCAGCATGCCGAGTGTCACCCAAGCGCGAGGGCTGTTGCGCCACGCCACGCCGAAGTCAGGAAAGCCTAGGTAGAAAAATCCCGCCTTCTTGCTAGGCAAAGGCGCTAGTATGTTCCCTGCTTGCACTTCATCAAAATAGAGCGCACATCTGACAGCTCTGTCGTGCCATTCTTCCATCTTGTCATGGAATAAAGGCACAGCCTCGACCAGGAGCTGAAGTGTTTTACGTATGTCTGCAAACATGACCTTCACATCTCCCAGCGTGGCTACCTTGAAGCAAGGACTCACAGGGGAGCGCATGCGCTGCAGCTCTTCCTGGACTTTTGTGCGCGAGTGCTCCGGTATGAGCTCGCAGACCTTGCGATCCGACAGCCCTGCTTGCAGCAAGTCTCCGCAGCGTCGCTGCGCTTCCTCCCCAAGCGGCCTCGGCTTGCGCCCCCGCTTGCGTGGCGGATCGCCTACAGCTGCCAGCAAGGCTCTTTTGCCCGTCGCTGCACTCATTCCATGGCTAGCAGGCTCATGTGCACATGATCCTAGCCTAGGCACTGCGGGCGAGCTACTGGCATGGGAGTATAGAGCGTGGCAGTGCCACAGCTGTACAAGACTACCCCCTGCAACTTTGCGTCGTGTGTCTACAGTCAGAAAAGAATTACGAGACAATGCAAGGCCGCATTCGTGACCACGCCACTATAGCTCTCTCTCGACCATGTCCCTATAGTCTGCCTCCACATTTTGGGTTCGTGCAGTTCAGTCTCCGCAGCGAGCTGAGCGAAGCTTGCCTTCGCTTAGCTCTAAACGCTAGAGTGCTAAAGTACAACACGTAGATGCAAGACGTGAAGAGAAGGGTGCTTCAGTCCAGACTGTTCAGGTCGATCTCTGCAGTTCGGTCAACCAGGCGTCTGGCTAGGCGCTTTGCGTCCGCCTGTGACAGCTGCAGGGGGTTGGGCGCCACGTGGGTCTGCAGGTTGCGGAACGTGAGCTTCGGCTTCACTGTGAGCGGCCCTAAACCCGCGCACAACTTCGGCACCCGGTCTTGCTGCTGCTGCTGCTCGCCGTCCCGGTACTCCTTCGCGAGCTTGTTGTACTTGGAGCCCACTTCTTTCGACATACCGAGCTAGTCTACTGTGAGAAAGGGCCTGAGTCTGCGAGGACGGCTGCGACAGAATTGCGATGAGGCAGGAAAAAGTGCAAGTGTGAAAAAAAGCTGACCACTGCCAACACCTGGCGCGCTACTACATCTATACTTGGAGGTTCATGGGAAGTTCTTATAAGTGGGGTTATATTTAGGGTAACTATGGTTATGATCACTGTTAGGGGACTTATAACCCCACTT